TAAGATATCACATCTCTTCTATCAATAAAATTTAAATATAAAAATTTATTTAAAAATAAAGTTATCATAAGTTAGAAATATATATTATAAATATGGATCAAAATAAATAAGAAATTTTAAAATTCATATACTCTAATTAAAAAACTGCCTAAAAATCCAATCGTAAAAAAAAACCTCTAAATATTTTTTCACATAAATAACTATTGGTATTAATTATGTAGGAGTGCATATAAATATATATTTTTAATATAAATTAATGTCTTGCTCTTACAAAAAAAAAATGGGATTGATACTCAACAAAAATATTATCATCACTTTTAAGCAATTTATAATTTTTTTAAGTTTTACTTAGTGACCGAATAGAATTTCGTTGCTAACTTTAACTAATATTTAGCTACCGAATAGAATTCTGTTGCTAATTTTAACTAATATTTAGCAACCGAATAGAATTACATCGCTAATTGTAACTAATATTTAGCGATTGAATTTAATTCTATCGCTAAAAAAATCAAAATATTTTATTTAGAGACTGAATTCAATTTTGTCACTAATTTTAACTAATATTTAGCGACCGAATTTAATTTCGTCGGTAAAAAAATCAGAATTCCTTATTTAGCGACCAAATCAAATTTTGTCGCTAAATTTAACTCCTATTTAGCGACCGAATTCAATTCCGTCGCTAAGTTTAACTATTATCTAATTTTAACTATTATTTAGCGACCGAAATAAATTTCGTCGCTAAAAAAAATCAAAATTTATAATTTAGCGACCGAATTCAATTCCGTCACTAAATTTAACAACTATTTAGCGACCAAATCTAATTCCGTCGCTAATTTTAACTATTATTTAGCGACCGATATAAATTCTGTCGCTAAAAAAATCAAAATTTATAATTTAGCGACCGAATTCAATTCCATCGCTAATTTTAACTAATATTTAGCGACCGAATTAAATATCGTCACTAAAAAAAATTAAAATTTATATTTTAGCGACCGAAATAGCGACCGAATTTAAATCTGTCGCTAAATTTAACTACTATTTAGCGACCGAATTCAATTCCATCGCTAATTTTAACTAATATTTAGCGACCGAATTAAATATCGTCACTAAAAAAAATTAAAATTTATATTTTAGCGACCGAAATAGCGACCGAATTTAATTCTGTCGCTAAATTTAACTACTATTTAGCGACCGAATTCAATTCCATCGCTAATTTTAACTAATATTTAGCGACCGAATTAAATATCGTCACTAAAAAAAATTAAAATTTATATTTTAGCGACCGAAATAGCGACCGAATTTAATTCCGTCGCAAAAAAATCAAATTTTTTTATTTAGCGACCAATTTTCTAGCGACGACTTATTTTGGTTGCTAAATCGGTCGCTATTTTGATTTTTCATAATCGATCGCTAAATCAGTCGCTAAATAGCGACTGATAAATTTTGGTCGCTAATTTCAATCGCTATTTTGCAATTTTCTAGTAGTGTTATATACTCGTTCTTTTCTATTTGGTGTTTCCGGTGTGTTGTGCTGTGTGTAATGACCAATCGGGTCGTTACAGTGCCTGTTAATATCAACAACAATAATTTGTTTAAGTTTTTTCAAGGAAAAGTTATTTTTAAAAGAATATATTTTTAATAAAATAAACAAATATCTATGTTAAATATATATTGTTTTACTTTATATTTTAAAAAAAATCCTATCTATTTTTTTAAAAAAATAAAATCACTATTTTAATTTCAAATAAATTTTCGAACTAATTTTTATCCTCTTTGTGGATCTAAGATGTTACAAAAATAATTACATGGTATATGATGAATTAACATGTGTTTGGATCCACATTAATTACTTACATTTTTTTTAACAAATTTACGTTAAATTGACAGAGAAACAAATAGTATTGAGTTCTTATTGATTCACATCCTACACAAAAATCAATTAGACACTTATTTCAATATTAAGCCCCATTATATTGTCACCTAGCTAACAAAAAATTGGAGTTTTTTTTTTTTTTTTGAATAATTGCCTCTTTTTATATTTTTTTAGAATAAAACACTAAGACATATTTTGTTTTCAAGATATATAAAGCTTCATTTTGAAATACTACGAGGTGTCATGTTTCACTATATAGGTCATTTCTGCCATCATGTTAATAGTTCCGGTATGGAGGAAACATGAATATTTATTGTCTACTTAATTATTATTTTTATATTAATATTATATGTTAATTTATTTTAATGAAATACTTAAGAGCTATATAGCTTTAAAAATATTTTGTTTTTAATTATAGAAATGTTATTTCTTTTGTTTTTATATATTGATTTGTTCATGGTATAGTGAAAATAAAATTTTAATTATTTATACTATTTTATATACAGATTCGATCTCTTAAAAAAATATATAAAAAAAATAAAGCGTAAATACTTTGACCTTTTATAATTAAAAGTAAAAAATAGATAATCGCAAATAATTTTTTTAGTTAAGCCCCTTACCTTTTTACTACTTATTTTGAAGTTTTCTTAAAAGAAAATTCTGTAGAAATAATTAGTTTAAACATGTATATACTTTACTATTATGTATTCAACTCTCTCTCTCTCTCTTTTTTTTTTTAATCATGTAATTTCATCCACTGATCGGTTTCTTTTAACATACTAACTCTTTCAATAATTTTCAACAATCGAAATGTTAAATAACAAGCAAATAAAACTTTTCCAGCTAATTGTTAGATAGCAATAAATTACTAGAAAGGTGAAACAATGAATCAAAGAAACGATGTCCGACTAAATCACGAGCTTCATCTCTTTCTCTCATATTCTTCTCCTGCAATTAAAAATTAATCTGATTAGTTGGCCTTTTATTATGCTAAAATATGATCAAAATATCTAATGAATCTTACCAAAGAATATGTAATAATAATTATCCTGTTAGGGTTACTTGAAACTCATATGACTCGAAAAAAGGGGGTTTTTGTGAGAACTGCTTGAAGTAGAGAAAGGTCAACACTTACTAAGATTGTATCAGGGGATTTAATTGTTTGCACTCGAGAGTCTAATCCAAGAGAATGAATGCTCGAAAAAAAAGGAAGGGGGTTATCCTAGGCCTCCAAAAAAGGGGTGGGACATCGAGAAAGGTCAGAAACTAAGAATCGAAAAATATAAAATACGTGGGAAGAGCGGTTAAAGGTAGTTATCTTTTAAACCCGCATAAGCGCGACGTAGTGGCTAGCGGTTATACTCACCCACGATAATTCCCACGAATTAACTGCTCGTAATTAAATCCTATAAATCTGAGAGTTGGGCATCTTCACAAAGGTCGGAAAACTCATACTTGAACCAAATTCTGAAGCATTCTCTGCCTGCACACATGGCTTCCATGCGAGGAATTATCTTTGGGTATGACTAATTCTCGGCCACTTTTCTTTTGGCTTTTTAGGAATAGAATTAGTGTAGTTCTTTTAGTTTATTTCTTTTAATCACATAGTTATATCACTTTGATATTGTAACTCTGGAACATTATGCATATGCAAGTTGAACCATGATTTGTATTGCAAGTATATCACTTATTCATTCTGTTCATCTTCGCATTTATATGTATGGAAATTATTGCTTGATAATTATTGAAGAATCTTTAGAAACAAGTAATTACTAAATCCTCTTACTACTCCACGTCTCGTTTTATAAAATATATCTAAATTGAAACGTTTTCGTGCTAGTCCAAATAAAAAGAATCTACAAAACAAATTCCACCGTAAACATATCCATAGCAAAGAGTAACACGACTTAAGTTGGAATTACATACAAGTGTATTGTCGGTAAGGATCTCAAAAGTTCAACCGTAAATATCGTCGAGAATATGCTTAAATATTTTTATGAAAAATAAATTAATTTTTTTATAAGAATCTTATATTTATGTTTCAAATATTTATATTTAATTATTTTAAAATTTACTTCCTTATTTTTATAATAAGATAATATCAATATTTTAATTTTATATAATAATTTTTTTTTATAAATAGAGACTTCACGAATAAAATTATATTATATTTTTTCGATAAAAATCATATCTTTATAAAATATAAATATAATTGTTATCAGAGTCGTAAGTTAGATTTAGTGACAACTAATAAATTATATTTTTTATAAAATAATAAATGATAATATAATATATAAAAATTTCGTTATATAAAAGATTGTTGAGATATAAATAAGTTTTACATCAATAAAATAAAAAATAAAATAATAATTTATAAAGTACACACATTCCTAATGATTAAGAGGTTTTTTGGATGATGACTAAAAAATAAAACTGTGAAGATTTAGATCTAAAACAGACAATATTTCATCATTATAAAATTGTGTGTGATATAACTCTAAAAAATAACTTTCATAAAATAATCAAGTTTATTTTGAATAACAAGTTTGTGAATATTGAAAGAAAAAAGCCACTGACCCCATGTTGGTGAATGCACAAATTGAAATGTTAATTTGAGGTCTCCAGTGTGCCATCGGAATTAGATTTTGACCATTTATTTACGCGAAGGGAAGCTTTCTCCGCCTACAAATTGCAATTAAAACAAAATATTAGAACATGCAAACACTACGTAGCGATAAGATATTGGATAATTAATGGTGAGATGTTTAAACTTGGTGAATGTTAAGTGCTAAATGAAAGTTAATTTATGCATCGCACCTCCTTTTCCCAATCACATCGTGCCGTTACTATGATGAGTATCAGAGTTTGGAGTGCCGTACCACCGAAGATCATGCCCCCCCAGATTCCCTGCCATGCACAATTAGCCACATCAATAGAAGGATTGGAAACAAAAGACAAGTGCTAATTAATTAATTAAGATTATACTACGTACAGTGACACCAGTTTTGAAGACCCATCCCATGATAATTCCCAGTGGGAGTCCCACAATGTAATAGCACCCTATATTGATGTATGCTACGAATGCTTGCCATCCCGAACCAACAGCCACTCCTGCATGCATGCATGCATAAAGCATTATATAAAATATTATAATTATTATAACAGTTAGGAGGAAAGGATATTTTGAAATACTTGTCATTTAATCAAGTTATCAGTAATATTTTAAAAATTATATAATTAAGACCAATACATTGAAATTTGATTTGCAAACCATGTGAACAATTAACCGTGTAAAGTTTAAGACCCACGCATCCCATGCACATGCATCTTTTTTAAATTGCTAATAAAGGTTTGGAATCTGGATTGGGCCATGCATATATGATATATATATGAAGTGAGATACTTTTGAGAATGATTAAGTATGGGTACCTGACAAAACGGGTTGAATACTGTTGAGAAGGATAGTGACAGCTAAGAGGAATGCCATGTTGTCAACAGCTTGAAGGACAGAAGAGCTTGAGGTGAATATGTATGCAACGTAGTTGTGGAATATCATTATCAGAGCGCAAAATATTAACCCAATCACCGATGATTGTGCCACCGATACTAGCGTAGCAAATTTTGCTGCTTTCCCATTGCCTGCGCCTAGCTCGTTTGCCACCCTTACCCTGTAATTCAATCAAATAACTATTTAACTTCTAAATTACTAATATTTTAATTTAACACCACACACGCGCTATATATATATTATATATAATAAATTCAACAAATTACTGTACAATGATATGATTCTTCTGTGACTACTGGAGAAACGTGGATCACAATTCTCTACGTTACGTAAGCAATATGGTCACGGAACATCATTATGCGAAATCAAAACAACGACTTTTCAAAGTAGACGTCAATCCAATATTCAGTACAAATTGTAGCTAATAATATATGTAAAATTCGATTGTAACTTTAAACATGTTTCGCTCTTATCCGACTCATGTTGAAAAGACGTGAGAACTAATGTACTGCCTCCGATTGTTGCTAATGATATATCTAAAATCCAATGAAATGATGAGAAACGAAATCATTTATATTAATATTTAATAATTAGGAGCAGTACTGCTATATTTTACCAAAAACGAATCACAAGAATGAAATAATTAAATAAAAAAATCCGGTACTTATATTATTTGAAAAAAAACCGGTATAGTTATAATTATAATTATATTTTATATTTTATAGTTTTAATAATTTATTTAAATAATAATTTATTTTTTAAATTATTTAATTATTATTTTATATGTTTTAATTTTATTTGTAATAATATTATTATATATTTAAATAGTTTAATTTTAATAATTTTTTAAGTATATTTTTGTCTTTTCACTTTAAATT